ATTTTGTGGTTTTATAACTTGCTAATTATAGTAATGGTTCAGAAGAAAAAGGTTAAGGACAGTTGCCTAGAGGAGGTGATATTTTCTGGATGCATTGTAAGACAGCGCTTCTCTGGCATTGGCATATCATTGTATCAGGAGAAAAAGTGCCAGGACACAGTACAGAGGCCTGAATGGAGCATTGAGAAATCTCAAGGACAGATAACATTTGAGCAGCTTCTTAAAGGAATCAAAGTTTCAACTCCTTACAAACTTTAAGGGGAAAAAAGACCTTTAAGTTTGTAAGGAGCTGAAACATTGATTCCTTCAAACCAGGGGATTGTTCCCAGGGGCACTTAACCACTAAGCCACATCCCTAGCCCTTTTGATTTTTTATTTTGAGACAGGTTATTTTGAAACCTCACTGAGTTTCTTAGGACCTCGCTAAATTGCTGAGGCGGGCCTCAAACTTGTGATTCTCCTGCTTCGGCCTCCCCAGTCGCTGGGATTATAAGTGTGCACCACCACACCTGGGCTAAAGGACTTTTAAAATACCTTTAAACTTGGTTTTCGTGTTTTATTTGGAAATGATTTCAAACTTACAGAAAATTTGCAACAGTAGAACTTCACTATGTCCTTAAAATCAGGGAATTTAACATGATACTTTTTCTAATTAGCAGACCTTATTCAATTTTCACCAATTATCCTAATGTCCTTTATAGCAATTGTGATTTTCCTGATCTAGAGCCAGCSATCCAGGATCATTGAAGACATTTGTTTATCTTTAGTCTTCTCTAGTCAGAAATAGTTCCTTATATTTTGTCCTGAATAACATTTTTTACTTTGAAGCAAATAGGTAATTTATTGAAGAATATTTCTCAATTTGGGTTTGTCAGTTGCCTCATGGTAAGATTTAGGTTATACATTTTGAGTGAAAATTCACAGAAACAATGTTGCATTCCTCTAAGGTCATCATATTAAGAGGATGTGGTTGTGAGTTTGTACCATTATTGGTGCTGCCAACCTGAATCATTTGGTAAAGGTGATGTCTTGGGTAAAGTGGTTTTGCCAGACTTCTCCACTGTAAAGGTTTTTTCTAAGCAGAGGCAACATATGGTAGAGGTACAGCTGTGGAAAACAGCATGGCATCCTCAAGGACTAACAAATAGTTTTCTGCAGCAAGGGAGTAGCATTTATGGCCAGAGGTGAGGATGAAGAGCCCCATAGGAACCAGATCACAGACAGTCTTGAATGCCACGCTGAGGAACTTAGGCTTTTAGCCCCTACACCAGAGAAAGCCACCAACAGGTTTTGAGCAGGGATTGGATGTTTTGTGTCACATTTCTGGTTTCTGGGTTTGGTTGGTTGCCAAAATCTTAACTGAAATTTCAGCTCTGTCAGTTCTTTATGAGTAATTTAGAGTAAGTCTCTACCTCACCGAGCTCTACTTCCTCATCTCTAAAAGACATAGATAATAGTACAAATGTGTACCTTCCAAGGTGGTTGTGATGATCAAATGAAATAACATATACACAACTATGAGCTGTAATATAATGCAGGGTTTTGTTTTAAYAGAGGCATTATGGCACATTGAATTTTTTTCCCATGCTTCAGGTTTCTGMATGCCATTTTGATGAATTTTATCATCTTTACCTTATCTTCTCCTTTAAATACACTTTAAAAAAATAAAAGTTGAATGAAAAAAATCAGTATTTTAAATACACATTAGAATAAAAGAGTTTATGCACCACATAGAAGTATGACACATAAATGTTATATGAAATAATGGTAATGGAAAGAAGACTGGTCTTAGAGTTTTATAGTCTGCGTTTCAACATTGATTCTGATGTTTATTTTCTATCTCTCTCCTTGAAGAAAATTCTTCATTTCTTTGGGCCTTACATTGAGCTCTTTAGTGGAAGCAATGCTAATATTCTCCTCATGAGTTTTAGTACCTAATACATAGCACATGTCCATCATATGTGAATTTTCCTTGTTTCAGTTGGGGTTTAGGGAGGACATAAACTTTCTAGTTTTAGAATAAGAAATGGCAAGATATAAGACTTTAGGATCTGTGGTCCTTTAAACAAAATAAAAGTTAAGCATATTGAGTTTCTTCCTCAACCTCCAGGACAGTGAGTGTGAGATGTCTTTTAAGAGATATTCAGCGTTGCACCATTCAGAGTTAGGTCTTTGATTTATAGCTGTAAGCTGATAGACATGTGACATGTCAGTATAAGAAGTGACTAAAGTTATCATTGACCCTGGCATAGCAGAGAAGGAATTTTAAGGATTCGTAGAACTCGAAATTACGTCTAAAGCGAGCTCCCAGGCAACAGCTAGCATATGTCTAACAATATAGACCATGTATGTTTCTTACTCCATATTCACAGCAGACTTGTAAAGCTGACTTTATTGCCTTGGTTTTGCAGATGAAGATATTAAGATTTTACAARGTAAAGAATGGAACCTTGGGGGCTGGGGCTGGGGCTCAGCAATAGCGCACTTGCCTGGCATGTGTGGGCACTGGCACTGGRTTCGATTCTTAGCACTGCATATAAATAAATAAAATAAAAGGTCTATCAACTAAAAATAATATTAAAAAATAAATAAAAAACAGGGCCTGGGGTTGTGGATCAGAGGTAGAGTTCTCGCCTACCACTCCTGAGGCACTGGGTTCGATCCTCAGCACCACATAAAAATAAAGTGAAGATATTGTGTGTCTWCCTGTAACTAAAAAATAAATATTTTTTTTTWWAAAAAAGGAATCTTGGTTTGCTTATCTCCTTTGTTCAGAGAAAAAAGTCTGGGGAGAGGGAGAGTCATTACCACTATTTTGTGCTTATTTTAACTGTACTATTTTATGTAACATGACAAGTACTAGTATCCCCTCTTTACTCTTCAGTAAACTGAGCTTCAGAGGGGTAAAGAAATTTGTAATTACAAAGATTGGGCAGAAACAGGATTTGGACCCAAACTTGTCTAATTCTGAAATGTAAAATCTGAGGACATCAAGGATGATGTCTACTTTAAGGAAAATGAACTTTCCATCAGAAACTGAGTGTTGTGTTTACAGCCCTCACCATTTGCGGCAATCAGTCTTTCCCCAAGGACTTCCTAGATTCCTTATGTGCTTTTTTGTTTGTTTTTGTTGCAAATGTATTATGGCAAAGCTTGCTCTCACATAATGGCATTAGTATATCCTCTGTCATTAGCATTACCTCTTTAAAGCCACCTAAGACAGTGATCATCACAAAGATTTTTCAAAAATACCAGTGTGACCACATCACTCCCTTGCATCTCTGCCTGTCCCCAGGCTCCTCAGCYGAAGTCCATTTTATCCTTAACCTGACATTCTAGGCTCTTGATGACCCGGCCTCTCTTGGCCTCTCCATCCTTATTTTGCTACTTTTCCTTCACATACCACCTTCACCCCTCCAGTGTCTTATCCAGATCTAACCACCTGGAAGTTCCTAGAAAGAGCAGTCCATTCTTAGTTTTGACTTAAAGCTTTTCCCTTTTTTTGGTGGTGGGTGAGGTACTGAKGATTTAATTCAGGGGCACTCAATCACTAAGCCATGTACCCAGCCCTATTTTTGTRTTTTATTTAGAGACAGGATCTCACTGAGTTGCGTAGTACCTCGCTTTTGCTGAGGCTGGTTTTGAACTCTGGATCCTCCTACCTCAGCCTCCCAAGCCACTAGGATTATAAGCTTACACCACCATGCCTGGCTTGACTTGAAGCTTTTCTATACTCTGTTCAGTCAACCTGGAGCACACTTTTCCTGCTTGCCTAAATCCTTCTCATCTTTTAAGACTTAGTTCAGAAGTTGTCTTTTCTAGAAAGCTTTGCCTAACAATCAGGGTCCTACTTTAATTTCTAATCAGGCCTTCCTTTGTGTGTCCCCATTTTTTTTTTTAAAGAGAGAGAGAGCGAGAGAGAATTTTAATATTTATTTTTTAGTTTTCGGCGGACACAATATCTTTGTTTGTATGTGGTGCTGAGGATCAAACCCAAGCCGCACACATGCCAGGCGAGCGCGCTACTGCTTGAGCCACATCCCCAGCCCCRTGTGTCCCCATTTTAAGTGGTTCATTAACACTGATGACAATAGTACTAGYAGTAGTTGTTCTTAGTGTGGCCAGTACTATTTAAAGGATGTTTTGTATAGTTGGAAAATGCTAAGCAAGCTCCTACAACTACTTACTTGCCTTTGTGCCAGTGAGTTCAAAATTCCAATTTTTTTTTTTAATTTTTTAATATTTATTTTTCAGTTCTCGTCGGACACAACATCTTTGTATGTGGTGCTGAGGATCGAACTCAGGCTGCACGCATGCCAGGCGAGCGCGCTACCGCTTGAGCCACATCCCCAGCCGAAAAAATTCCAATTCTATTAAAAAAAAAATCTGTTTTCCTGATCCTACCAGACCTAAACTTAGGTTAGGAATAAAAAATATTTTATTTAAAAATATAAATATTCTCAGCCAGGTTTGGTGGTTCAGGCCTATAATCCYAGCAGCTTTAGAGGCTGAGGCAGGAGGATTGTGAGTTCAAAGCCAGCCTCAACAATTTATTGAAATCCTGTCTGTAAGTAAAATACAAAAAAGGATTGGGGATGTGACTCAGTGGTTAATTGCCCCTGGGTTCAATCCCTGGTATGAAGAATAAATGAGCAAACAAACTGTTCTCTGTCTCTCACCTGGAATTTACCAAAGCCATAAGATGCATTATCCTGGTGGGATTTATGTAACTGTGGACTAATTAACAATGCTCTTACTTTGTTAGACTGTATTCAGTGTATGCAGTATGTTCCTGGTGTCCTGGGGGCCCCAAAGTATCCCCTGCCTATAAGGTTGCCTACAAGAACAGAAAAGAGTATGTGCTTTGGGTCCAAAAACATCTGTGTTTTAATCTTGGCTTCACCAATTACTACCTTGCTACTTTGGGCCATGTAAATTCTCTTTTTAAGTTTAGACTTGTGAGCATGCTTCTGACTACTTTAACTTATGTTTCCTTCCAGCTATCAGAGAAGATGGCATGCCTGGAGGCCGGAATAAGAGCATTGGGCCAGTCCAGGTGAGTTCTAGGCCCTACTCTCTTGTTTTGTCCTAGAAGGCCTGGGCTCCATATGCTCCTGTAGCTGCTCACTTTAGACCTCTCATTTGCAAGATACTTTGCTGTTCATTTCATCTAAAGATTATCAGCAGAATGTTCATTACCTTATTAATAGAGTAATACTGCTTTCTTTTTTWAAAAAAATATTTATTTATTTATTAGTTATTGGCGGACACAACATCTTTGTTTGTATGTGGTGCTGAGGATCGAACCCGGGCCGCACGCATGCCAGGCGAGCGCGCTACCTCTTGAGCCACATCCCCAGCCCCAGTAATACTGCTTTCAATCCCACAAACATTTGCTAAGTTCCTRCTTTGCCAAGTTGGTGGGTTTTGGGGTTTCCCCCCCACTTTTATTGAAGCTAGGGATCAAATACATAGTCTTATACATGCTAGGCAAGCATGCTACCACTGAGATACATCCCCTGCTCCCTGTCAGGATCTATACTATGAACTCTGTTTAATGGGAGAGACAGAGATGTAAACAGACAACATAGTATCATAAGATTTAACAGAGAATGCCCCCTTCACTCCATGGGCCTAATGATCCAGCCCAGGGCAGGGCTTCTCTTTCCTTTGGGCTGGAACCTTGGTTGAGACTGGAGGCACTCAGGGAAAGCTTCCTTGAGAAGGCAAATTTGAACTCAGTCTTGAAAGAGGAGGAAGAATTAGCTGTGTTGGGGAAGGGTGGGAAGCTAAAYGTTTTTAATTTGTCCTAGACTGTGAAAAGACCCAAAGATGAATGTTTTAAGGAATGACAAAGAATTTGTTCAGTGAGGCTATAGCATTCAGCTCATGTAATAGAGTGGCAGGAGATAAGGCAGATTACTTGAATTTGGAGTCAGTTCTTTAAAAAGTGGCCTTTGTCTGTCTTTGACTGTATGAACTAAGAATTTTTGGTGTGAGCCAAGAGCAAGCTACTAAAAGAGTTTAAATGTGGGTGAGTGGGGCGTACTCAGATTCTCATTTTAGAAAAAAAAATTTTTTTTCATTTGTTTGTTTGGCAGTACTAGTGATTGAACCCAGAGCCTTATACATGCTAGGTAAGCGCTCTAGAAAAATCATTCTAACAGTGGAAATTTCCGGTTTGTGAGGAGTGGAACTAGAGTAAATAAAACTAAGAAAGAGAAAGCAGTGAAAAGGGTTTTACAGAARTCCACTCCAAGACATATAGGTAATAGTTTGCAGTAGAGTAATGACAGTGCATTTTGAGAGGAGGGAACAGATTCAAGAGATAATTAATTGATGGTATTTCTCCAATTAAATGTGAACAAATGAAGAAAGTCAGTTACACACTTATGTATGGGAGATTTCCTATTACATGAACTAGGTACACAGTATGTACTCAATCAGGGTGTATGTGTTTGTGTGTCCATATAAGATCCCCAAGCCAGGCACAGTGGTGCATGCCTATAATCCCAGCAGCTCAGGAGGATGAGATGGGAGGATCATAAGTTCAAAAGCAATAGCGA